ATCTATTAAATATTATGATCAAATATATACTATAAATTTGAAAGACCATATGTATGATCAGTTATACTATATATCATGAGTTACCTAGCTACATCATATGGTAGTTAAATTCAAATTCTTATTTGCACCATTCATAAAAACAATCTCTCACTTTTGGTATAATTGTTTTTCTTTTTCATTTTTTGGGATAAAATCTCACTTTTGGTAGTGATGAGTTAGGACACAAAAGTGACATATTAAATTTATAAATATATTACCTAGGAAGTTACAATATTACCCTTTAGAATTGCCTTCTAGAAATTAAATTTTCGTACATCACCTCCTATAAGCAAAGAATGTAGTGCTCTATTGAATAAATGTTAAGTTATAATTAAGTTGGGAGAAAACAAATACGAAGCATAATGTTGAATATCTTGCACATGGATGAGAGTTTTCTTGTATTTTGAAATCCTCCCGTATTGTATATATAGATATTTAAGGCTATTTATAGACTTGTGAGAGCCTTTAACTAAAAAGACCCAAATTAGTTATTCTAACTAATACTAGTATTATAGTGTCCAGTCTTAATACATAATCTCGAGTGAGAGTTTGAGTGTGTATCAAATTTTTACAAGGAATTGTGTATGGAAAGTTAGYTTATTTCGATTAGAGTTGCTCTCTTCCTTAATTTATATATGGAGAGAGAGTGTGTGAGTCCATAAGTGTGGGGCAGATATCGGAGATAATATGTCATGTTGCGCTTCGGAGTCATACAGACCACTGTCATTATATTTTTCCTCCCAATGTGCCACATTGGGGAGCGTGACGGCATTTTGGACGATCCTATGAGGCATATCGCGGTTTGTGTACAGGGTGTCGACGTCTCTGTTGACCACACCTAACTGTCCTTCGTACGGATGGTCTAGATGCGCTCGCCCCTAGGATCGGTGCTCGACCTCTTCCGATCCTCTGCTAACTTGATCAGCGTGGCTGAAGGGAGATACGAAGTGTGAGGTCTTGGACTTGCACTCTGATAACACTAAATATCATCAATGAAGTTAATATCCAAATTTTATACTTAAAAAATGTCCTTATAATAAAAATTATGAAACAGGCTTCCCACGTACCACTGCTCCTCCTTTGATTGGTAGACTTCACCCTTTTTTTTATTTTTTTATAATTAAAAAAATAGGCCCGTGTAGACTCTTCACGTGGTTCATGTTTTACTTTTTCAAATAATTTGGGCAAAAATTAACGTTCAACTAATGCAGTTTTTCTTCACTTGATTTTTATTTTCTTTTAGAGAAGACTTGATGGTTTTTTTTTTTAAATAGTTTTGGCGATTCCTCGAGGGAGAGAATTGACAAAATGATAAATCATATTTTAATTAAATTTCTCCGGTTAGATAAATTTATTTTTTTCCGGTATACCAACCCTTATCTTATTTTAAAACATAAAGTCCAAAACAATTGGCAAATTATCAATTCTAGCTAGTAACTTCCAAAGTCTTCTATATTAGGTTATTTATTTGAATTTCACTTTTCCATCCGTGAATGGCAAAATATATTTTTTTTTTTTTAGTTTTAATCAAAGCTCATAAACTTCYGCACTTATTTCATTTGAATTATTCATTTTAAATATTTTATTTTAATTTCTAAACTTTTATCTTTTAAAAAAAATGTTTTGTTCATCACATGAATTTTGTATTTTGGTTCATAGACTTATCCAGCATCAATTTTCTATGAATATAATATAAAATTTTATTGACCAAAACAAAGTATTTGAAAGTGTGTAGACATATTTAAAAATAAAAATAGTGACTAGAAAACTTGAAATATTGTATCTTCTTTTAGGGGGAAATATTGTATCTATTGACATAATATAGACAACTTTTATTTGAAATGTTTCAACTCCCATATGGTTAAAAAAAAGTTTAAACTCTTTTTTTTTTTTTACGGACTTTAGACTTCATGTTTGGATTAAAAAAAAGAATTAGAAATTGGCATCAAAATTGAAATGCTCGAAAGATAAAAATTATTTACTTATGATTGCATTGGTCTAAAGGTTAGAAAAGTTAAAACTAATCCGTTGTTGTTCTAGGTTGAGGTCTTGATCTCAAAGGAAGTTAGCGAATTTGCATACACGTTGGTTAATTATTATGAAACAAATATCAAACTCCCTAATATTTGGTTAGGTGGTAATAATTAATCGTGTAAGAGTTTGACCATTCCTAATTCTAAACAATATTTAGATAGACATGTTAGGATTCTTTTTTCAACTTTGAAATAATTTTATTCTTTTAATACTTTATATGTCCTACGTCACTAGTTTGTTTGTTCGCTTCATTTAATTATATTTCTCATTTTTTGCCCATACGAAAGTAACTTCTATTCGTAATATATAATTAAAAATAAATTAACAAATATTGTTATAATTGTTAGACTTTTCAACTGAATCTGTCTTTTCTTTAATCATTTTGGTCCTGTGTCTTTTATAATTAAACTTTATTATATGACATACAAAGGTTAAATGTCATATATAAATTTAGTACCAAGATGGATCTTTATAAACAATTGAAATATTGAAATTAAAAATTTTAAATACGTACCGAGGTTAAAATAAAATAAATATAAAAGTTAGCGACTAGAATTTTATTTAACTATAATAAATGGATGATAATTTTGGTTGGGATGTAGATGAACAAAGTAGCCTAATTCTTTCCCTTCGGGAAAATAGATGAAATATTAAAAAAGAGACTTGGAAGTCAAATTCTATACATTAACCTATAAGAGAGATCAGTTGGAGATTTTTCCTTTTTTTTTTAAATAAAATTAAAAAGAAAAAGAAACAAGATGAATATAATATTGTCCCTTGTCATTTGTACCCCAACACTCCTCAGAATGAGAAAATAGTTAACTACTTATTAATTATCATCCATCTCAACCACTATTTAAAAATTGAAATTATATTTTAACAAAATTTTCTATTTTTTACCTTTCTCTTTCTTAGTTATCAAATATTCAATGATGGTCCTAACGGGTGAGGAGCTTAGTATTTTCTTATCGAATATGAATATTTTTAGAACTAGCATGTAACGTTTATAATTCAAAAATACTAAATTATTATTCTTTATTATTTTCTAAATATATAGTAAATGTGTTTCTTCACTTTTAATTATAATAGGGTATTTTTACTAGATGACCTAAAATATTGAGTTCAAATAAAATATATGTCCCCTATTTTTAAAATAAAGTTTTTTTTATCCTTCTGCAAGAGTTAGCATCATGCTCTTTAATTCTCCCCCTTGCTTCTGTCTTTGTACTAAAGAAAAAAAAATCAAATAGTGGAAATTATTATTAGAACTTAGTCGTTTTAGGAAAATATGCATATCAAACTTGGTTGATGTAATATGTATATTTGGACTGTGCCAAATTTAATATGTATTTGAATTTATGTAATTTATATTTATATGTGGTTTGTGGTGTGGAGTGAACAACGTCCTACTAGAATTCCAAGTAAAACTGGAATAATAAATAATATTATTTGTCCATATATAAAATGTTGTAGTAATATTAATCTAATAATACATTGGAAATTGCTCGGAGAATACGTGGGGGTGATAAAGTCTGGCCTTCGAATTGTCTTATGAAATAACCAAGCCCAAAGCCAGATGACATCCAATATATTGCGCAAGCAATCTTACGTGTTCGATAAGAAAAAAAAAATCATTTTCTACTTTAATACTTAATTAGAGTTATATTTTATATTCATTTAGCTGTGTTCGATAATGCAAACACATAGATACTTGAGTACTCATTCAATTTCAGGCTACTTATTTATATGTGTTAATCAAAAGTATATGATGTCTCACTAGCTTAAACTATAAATAGTATAATATCAAGATTTGTATGAACAAATTTTAAATTTTTAAAATTTGAATTCATCTCGCTAATCAAATTTTTACATGATTGTGATAGTTAGAAGAAATTGAAGGATTAAAAATTTATTCCACAATTATTTGAGCTTCAAGTTGATAGGAGAACTACAAATAATGGTAGGAATACTTAGCCCTAAAAAAAAGTAGAATATGATAAAACTCATTTTCGCTTTAAAAATTAAGACCATGAATTATAATTAAGTCCACCCGCTATATGTAAAACTCATACTTTTTTTTTTAACAAACAAATCAAACCCCATTACATAAATTGACAAATTTTCAGCTAAATACGGTATTTTCAAACTATTTATATGTCTTATTCATTTTAAGATATATAAAATTAGTCAAAGTTACGTATAAATTGAAATACTTACATAATATTAGTCAAGCGGTGTGAAAATAACTCGGACACTCCACATAAAATGAAAAGGTTGAAGAATATATTTGTTCTTTAGCCGGTAAAGATTTAGTCCATGTATTTTTTAAATTGGAAACAATTTAGTCCCTAAAATTACTAAAGTTTAAAATTTGTTATAATTTAGTCTCAATCGTAAAAAATCTCATCAAAATTATGTGTCAATTTTTGTCATATAACAATTTCTCGTTTATAATTTACAAATATATTTGGTCTCTTATTGATTTTCGATCTACATATATAAGAAATTATACAAAAAATTTCACTTCAAAGATGAATAAATTGTTATTAATTTGAAAGTAAGAGAGTTAATAATTTCAAACGAAAGTTTAGAGACTAAATGGTTACTTCAACGAAGTTACGAAAACCAAAAGTATTTGTTAACAAAAAAAGAAAAGATATAAAATTCAAACCTACCATTTTTCTAAGTAAGGTGATATAAAATTTCTTAATTCATGTACATTAAATAACTGAGAATTTAAATTAACGATTTTTTGATCCAACGTAAATACATTAAATAGTGGAAGTATGTTCAAGAAAATAAAATAAAATAAAATCATGATTGATTTATTCAAATCTGGTGAGATGGGAGAGAATATAATATCATTTGATTTATTCAACTGCTTCTGGGTGACGAGACGAAAGAAAGAGGAGGAGGAGAATTTTTTTCTCGTTTATACAATGCAGCGGGACCCACATTGGGTTTATAAAACGGCGTTTGCGTTTTGGACACATAACTATAAAGTTTACGTTTTTATTATAAAGTCTTTTTAATTACTTTTTTGCCTTTTGAGAAACTCGACACAACAATGAGCTTTTCCGATGTCGAAGCCGTATCGAACGGCGACCCCCAGCCCCACCCGGACTTTTACCAAAACGTCGTCGTTATGCGTCACGGCGACCGCCTCGATAACTTCGACCGCTCATGGGTCGCCACCGCCGCCCGCCCGTTCGACCCGCCCCTTTATAAGGACGGCCTGGTTCGGGCCTCCGATACGGGTCGGACTTTCCGGAACCTTCTCGGGTTCCCTATTCACCGAGTCTTCGTTTCCCCTTTCATCCGCTGCGTCCAGACCGCCGCCCAGGTCGTCTCCGCCCTCTCCTCCGCCGCCCCGGACGCCTCCTCCGCCGTCAATCCCTCCCCACTGATTAAGGTCAGACGCACTGCACATCGTGTGGCCTTTTTCGTATTTATAGAAATAATTAATCAATCTCTTACACGTCGCCGGTTGACTTTTCTTTATCTTCTCAGCTGATGCTTCTGAGATTTTACGTAAGTTTCTTTCATGAAATTTGTTGGTTTTAAAAGTTCACTTAAGCGATTTTAGTTGACATTTTCAGACGTTGAGATAGTGATGGGTATGTCCGGTAGAGGTCGGGTGTGGCCAATTACGTTCCATGTTCGAACAATTAGGTTGAAAGTTTTTGTCGGATTGAGTCACCTTGCATTAGAAATGATGGGGTAAAACTGAAAGTAGTTCCATTGGGAACAGGGCGATGATTGAAGTTGAGATTTGGAGGCCACCAAAACCAAAAGTATTCTATCTTTTTGTTCATTAGTATGATAAAATATTTGTGAAGTTTCTTGTCTTGTCTTTTTCCTGTCCTCTTTGTGATCATTAGCTTTTCTGTGAAAGACAGATTTTAGTTCAAAATCAAGAAAACCAAACCATGACTTTGGTTCAGTTAAAATTGGCTTCCAAGAATAGTTATTTTGGTTCAATTTGCATGTATAATAAACGAATCATCATGGTTTAAATTTCGGTTTGGTGAAAAACCGAATTGTGAACGCCCACAATGTGCAGTCTCCTTGACAATGACAGATGAAGGTGACATCTCCTAACAAGTGTTGCTTGGAAAAAAGGTGTTGGAAAGTTCTTCTCAACTGCTTAAGACCAAAGATTTGTTCTTTGGTACAGAAAGTTCATTTCAATAATTGCAGCCTCAGACGATACTTTTCACTGTTTTGCTTTTGAACGGTGAAAATTGTTTTGTTTCTGTTCATGGAATTTAAAGGTCAAATTAGAGTGTTAATAGAGGCTTACTTTTAACTTTGAGATCAGTTTGACTTTTCTCCTCAAAAATCATTTCAACAACTGCTGCTCCACTTAACGTGCTTTCATTTTCTTACAAAGAGATCTTGACAAGTCTACAGCTGAAAAGTACGACTCTGAGAATATTTTAATTATTTGGAGAACTACTCTCTTCGACTTGTATGAATTCAAAGTTGATTTCAGATTGTTGCGAATCTTGAAGTTTGAAAAGAGGATGTAGCCTTCCCAACAAAACCAACTTATTTGGCTGTCTCAAGCCTCTTTCTGTACAGTTCAGTTCTCATGCTATTGCTAATGCTGAGTTTTGACTTGGGATCTTTCTGTAGGTTTCTATAGAGTATGGACTGTGTGAGATGCTAACCAATGTAGCAATCAAACCTGATTTGGCTCCAAAGGATGAGAACTGGGATTTCAGTATTCCACAGCTTGAAGCTATTTTCCCCACAGGCATCGTCAATGTCGACCGTTCCATAGAACGTGTATATAAAGAGGTACATATCATCAAATCGAATAAAATCATTATCAAATAAAGCTTCAATATTTCTGCCCCTGTTTGAACATTCCTAAGTAACGTGATCTCTTGGAAACTTCAGATGCCTCCATGGGAAGGGTCAGCAGAGGTTACTCGGACTCGGTACGTGCAATTGTTCCACACCCTTGCTGATAAATATCCATCAGAGAACTTGCTGCTTGTCACACATGGTAAGTGACTAAGTGGTATTTACGGTTGCTGCTAGGGGCGGACCAAAAGAAGGAAAAAGTCCCCTTAATTTGTCATAATTCAAAAATTATACACCAAAGTTTTATATTGAAAGATTATCCGTGCAAAAAGTTAAAATGTCATTAAGATGTTGTTTGTTCGTCGGTGTGTTTTCAGGCGAAGGAGTGGGGGTTGCGGTTTCCGAGTTTAAGGAAAATACAACGGTGTATGGAGTTGAGTACTGTGCATTTGTTGAACTTAGAAGGCCTGTTTTTCAGAGAGGGTATTCATTTGTGTTTGGAAAATTTGAGGCGATACTGAGAGAGGAGCAAGGTGGAATCAAATTCATTGAAGAATGAGACCACATCTTCCATTGAGAATAAATTATCAGACTCTATTATTTGCTGCTGCTTCTTTGATACTGTGACGCATTGGATTATCAAGATCTCTCTCTCTCTCTCTCTCATTCTCATTTTTGTTGGTTTTCTTTGAATAAATGAGTCTGGAATCTGTGATATTGTTTTAGAAAGTGATAATATTGTAGTGATGATTATTGTTAAGGAGAGAAAAAGAAAGTGATGTGAAGTCAATAGTGATCTAACCAACGTGACGTTTTATTGTATCTCATTCTATATGGTCTCCTTCCCCACGGCCATTCTGTTGTTTTGTTTTCTATCAGTTTGGTAATGATAAGATTTGTTTTCAGAAAAGAATTATATATTTTGCTTAGATACCAGGAAGTTGCACAATAGCGATGAGAGATCTTGTATTTTCACTCATTCAATTGGTTTAGCCATATATCCTCGACTAAAAATTAGATATTGAAATTCTTACTTTCGTATGTGGTTGAAAAAAAAGACTACCCTTGAACAATAACATCATGAACGTGATGTACAAGTATTTTTAGGAAAGTTTGAAAGTATTATTATGCACAAGTATTTTTAAGGAAAGTTTGAAAGTATTATTAACTTGTATAATGCTTTGGCCCGAGTATCTATTATTAGGCTCAAGAAAGTACTTAAAAGCACTTTTAAAATACTGATTAGTTCTAGATGGTCTATCATGGTTAGTTAATTCAGTTATCAAATTCTAGATCACATGGCAATATTAAATAATTTTCTATTATTTTTATTGATTTTTTTTCTTTTTGCTCTCTCTTCCCCTCTCTTCGTCTTCCTTCTTTTTCTCCAATTCTCTCGATTACATCCAAGATTTTCTCTCATCAACGCAGAATTGGACATCAATGGTATTGAACTTATGATTATTATGACTATAACAGTTACAATGAACAGTCACAATTGAGTCAATCACGTTTAATAGAAGTAGATAATATAGTCATTCTACCATCTAAAACGCATCTACATATTATTGTAGCATCTGTTGATGTACTTTATAGTTGAGTGGTATAGAAGAGATGATGTACCTGATCTTTTAAATGAGATCTCTATTTCGATATCAACGAGGAGTATACTATGGTCACAGCAATGAGATTTGTGGAATTAAAAGTGTTTTTGTGTGTGTCCAGAAACATAAGAGTACTAAGATTAATTTTCTAAAACAAAATGTAACGAAGACTTCATTTCCAGTACTCATCGGGAAAATTTGATACCAGCTGTGTCATCGAATGAACGCAACTCAAAATTTCCAGCAATGAAGGAATCAAGTCTGCGAAAAATGGGTCTCCTCAATATACATATCCACAATAATCAACTTGAACAACCCTTGTATCATCCTTCAAACAGGTCGAAACAACGACTCCAACTCCTATACCTGAAAACATTACCCACATCTACACAATTTCCATAACTAATCTAAACTAAACAACATAGAAAAAGGGAAAATTGTTCTTCAATTACCATGAGTGATAAGCATGATGTTCTCATAATGGTTATTATCTGCTAGACGCTGAAAAACCTCTTGAAATCGACACCGTATGGCCGTGGGGAGCTCTCCAAATTGTGGCATCTGGAGGTGAAAATTTTGATTATAAACTAATTAAGTACAAGTACTAGTACTATTACTGCAAATGATTTGTGTTTTTTTTTGTACCTCTTTATATACAGGTTCTACGGAATGGTCGTCATAATCAGGGGGCAGTACAGTTTGAAGGTCTGTGGAGCTGAAACCCCACTTCCAATCCCTTGGAGCCACTTCTGCTGGGATTGCTTTATAGTTTAGCTTCTCACATAATCCATATTCTACGCACACCTTCAATCCATATTCTCATCCTTCAATCTGTTTGTCTAAATTTTCCAATTTTACGACCTGATTAAAGTTCTCGATTCTTGTTTCTGGTTTTTTAGAAGCTTGAGCCTTTGCCAATTATTTATGTTTTTTGTTTAAGAGAAGTTACCCAAAGCAACTACGTTTTTCTTTATTATAAAAACAGGAAACAAAATTGTATAGCAGGGTATATGATGGCCGATCTTAATCCTCAAATATTCATGGGAAGTCAAAATCTGGGCGGAGTCTAACCTTGAGTTGGGCGTGAGCGGCGGAATCACGGTGGCCGGTTGCAGTAGAGTCGACGGCGGAGACAACTTGTGCGGCCGTCTGAAGACAACGAAGGAAGGGAGAGACGTATACCCGGTGGATCGGGGATCCGAGATGGTTCGTGAGGA